CGCTGCGCTGGCGGAAGTCCCCGTATGCGGTTGGGTTGTCCATCACGCCTGGTGTTAGAGGGGGAGGTTGGTCATCAGCTTGTTGAGGTTCTCCTGGCGAGGAGGAAGGAGAGAAGAGGCTGACCAATGGGCCAGCAGGGGAGGAGCCGGGGGGCGGCGGGGCCATCGTCCGGGCGGGGGTTGCCCTCCCTCTGCCCCAGGGCGGGTCCCCTACGTAGGTCCCTCACCCGGTGCAGAGCTGAGACGGTCTGGAAGGAGGAACCTTTCTTCTTGGCTCCTTTCCCCTTCCCTCCATCGCCGCCTGGGGTGGGGAAAAGAGGGGTGGGGAGCGGCAGGAAAGGAGGCGACCCTTGTGGGCAACTGCCTTCTCCATCCACCCCTCCCTCCGTCGCCCAACCCTCCGCCCACCCACCGGCATCTGCCCCGGCGTAGTTGGAGAAGAGGTTGGCCAAGAGCTTGAGGGCCGATTTCTGGTAGAGCCCCACCACCGTCTCGTTGAGGGGGTCCTTGTTCTTCTCCAGCCACCCGATGATGTTGTAGTCCACCGTGCCGGCGTAGTGGATGAGCGAGAAGTGGGCCTCCGGCTTCCCCTTGACGTTGCGCGGCTTCCCAAAGTTGGCCGACTTGCCCAGGTGATTATCGAAGAGCTTGGCCTTGAAGGTCATGTCCGTGGCCTTGGGGAACATGCACTCCTCCTCCAGGATGGACATGATCCCCATGGGCTGGGGAGGAGAAGACCTCGTTGGCCATGGAGGACGCCAAGCGCAACCCGACCGGCCGCCTTCGGGGTCCCCAGCGATCTCCAGGCGGAAGGATCCTTCTCCGGGAGCCCCCTCAGCCCCCAGGAGGCCCTGGGGGAGGTGGTACCTTCTCGATGAGGTCGATGCAGGCCTGGAGGTCCATGCCGAAGTCGATGAACTCCCACTCGATCCCCTCCTTCTTGTACTCCTCCTGCTCCAGCACGAACATGTGGTGGTTGAAGAACTGCTGCAGCTTCTCGTTGGTGAAGTTGATGCAGAGCTGCTCGAAGCTGTTGAACTGGGGAAGGAGAGAGGGGATGGCCGGCGGGGTCAACGTGACGCCCAATGGGATCAACGGGGTCACCCCGGCACCCAACGGGTTCAGCCTGACACCCAACGGGGTCAACTCGGCACCCAATGGGATCAACAGGGTCAACCCGGCACCCAGTGGGATCAATGGAGTCAACCTGACACCCAACGGGGTCAGCCTGGCACCCAATGGGGTCAACGTAATGCCCGATGAGATCAACGGGGTCAACCCAGCACCCAACAGGGTCCACCCGACACCCAACGGGGTCAACGTAATGCCCGATGGGATCAACGGGGTCAACATAGTATCCAATGGGATGAACAGGATCAACTGAACATCCCAGAGGGTCAACACAACACCCGGTGGGATCAACGGGGTCAGCTTGACACCCAACGGGGTCAACAGAACGCCCAATGAGATCAATAGGGGCAACGTGAGACCCAACGGGGTCAACGTAACGCCCAATGGCATCAACGAGGTCAACTCGACACCCAACGGGGTCAACGCAACGCCCAAAGAGGCCAAGTTTCCAGCGAAGGTCAACGTGAAGCTTAAGGAGATCGACTCAACCCCCAGCTGGATCAACCCAACCCCCAAGAGGACCAACGCAACCACCCCGCGGCCCCCTCGGGCCTCACGTCGAAGATCTCGAAGCCGGCGATGTCCAGCACGCCGATGAAGTACTGCCGCGGCGGCTTCG